GTTTTAATGAGGGAATGAGCAAAAGGGAGCTGAATGGTGCTGAGCAACAGCCTTCTGCCATAGGCTGATTTACTGTAAGGTCTTATTTGCTGTGGAACTAACTAAAGTTGTCCCACCATTGATTCCTGGTCTCAGCTTAGCTTTTAATGAAACTCAGTAAGCCTTGCTTGCTTGGTCTTGCACTGAGTTGCACTTGCAACTGACCTAGCACATTACAAGTAATTTCTTTATTTTTCAAAACCTGCAGCAAGTCATCAGATGCCCCCCGCCTTTTGCCCACAAGAGCAGTACATCATAGCTAGGGAAGCAGAGTTTTTCAGTCTCCAGTACTGTGGCACTGATAAATCTCTCAGACAACAGGTCAGCGAGGGTGAAAGCAGATGCCCCTGATGGCTTTCCCTTGCTAAACTTTTCTTTCCTTCTCTTTCCCAGCTTCTCATTCCAACTTGATCTGATTTCATTTGGGACCTGGGATCTGTTCCTGGAAGCTTTGCTCCAGGCAGAAACAGCAAAACAGTGTGGTACAGGGAACACCGGACCTTGTTCTTCCCTCCTTTGCTTTAACACATGCCTGAGGTGGTGCAAAAACTCATCTGCCTTCCTGGCATCTACCTCTGATACAGAGCTCTGGTCCAGAACAGGCTGCCCCCGGCCCTCCCCATTGCTGGGCACATCTCCTAGTGCAAGGAGGAGACCAGTATAGTGGGACTTGGCTTCTGCCTTGCTGTCTGGACCAGGACACACATTACTACAAGAGCATTAGCCCCACATCATCATCATCCCTCAGATGCAGAACGGCAGTGCTGCCAACAGATTTGTATGCCAGACATCATGTGGGTACATGCCTGGCAAGTGGCTGGGCTGAGGGAATAGCTTCTCACCCGGAAACAGGCCTACGCTCAGCCACTTCTCATCTTCCCCAGCAAGGACTAGCCCTCCCAAACTCTGCAGGCAAAGCTGCCCCATGGCTGCTCCCTCACCTGCTTCAGGGGCAAAATGCTTAATGAGCTGAAGCTGCTTAAAGCTGCTCCTCAGCAGGCACACACCTGGCAGCTCCCAACAACATGGGCCAGAGCATCTGTGGTGGCTAAAACGCCTGGACTTACCAGGTGGAAGTTTCCACTGCCACAGTTAGGGTGGAATGAGGACAGTGGCCGGATGATGAGTGGAAAGCTCTGGGCTGTGTGCTTTGGTATTTGAGCAGCTCAGCCCTCCATGCTGCTCTTTCATACAGCCTGCTGTGCTGAACAGCCTGATCCTCCATCAGTGCTCTAGAAAGTGCATCAAAATCCATCACCTCACTGGCACTGGTTACTACCAAGTGGGATTACGGAGCATTTTGCTGAATCAGGCTAACCTAACAACAGACAACAGTACATTTTTTAATGCTGCACCCTGTTAGTCAACACAGTTTTTAAGTCTGTTAGGGATTGGACAATTCGTTGCCAACAGCACCGACCAGCCAGATTTGAGCTACAGCGTAGTTTGTCAGGTGAATGTAAAAAGCTGGTCTGCCTTTCTGTATGGGAGGGGGGGGGGGGGGACAAGGGAC